GTTGGCGTGTTTGGTTGAGGTCCCGAGGGCCTCGGGTGTGTTTCGGGGTGGTTTCGGATCATTTCGGGCTGTTTTGCAATGGCTGAAGCTGGTATCTGGTATTGTTCTCCGCGTTCGCGAGGGTCCCCTCGCGTTCGCGAAGAAGGATTTGGCTTCTGGGGTTTTGTTCTTCGCGTTCGCGAAGAGAGCCTCGCATTCGCGAAGAAGAGGCAATTCTGTTGCGCAGGTCTTACTGTGGAGGCTCGTATCTCTGAATCTACAATGAATTTGAAGATGATTCAAAAACGAAAGTTGTAGCTCTTTGAATCTAGTTTCCAAAAACATATTATAATAGTCATTTGGAGTTGTGTGTAAAAAGTTATGACCATTACACTAGAGGTTGTCCGAGCAGAGTTTGGAAAATGAATTTTTGGAACTTTGTTCTTCGCGAACGCGAGAGGAGGACCGCGAACGCGAAGAACAAATCCCTGGGCAGCAGAATAAAGTCCAAACTTCATCCCATTTGCCATTTTTGACGATTTGGAGCTCGGATAAGGCGATTTTTCGGGAGATTTTTGGAGAGAATAACGGGGTAAGTATTCTTAACTCAATTTTGGTTGTATAACTTGAATCTATCACTAGTTTTGGTGTTTAATCCGCGACTTTTGTTGGAAAGTATAGAAAACCCTCTTGGATAGAATCAGGGATTTGAGGGTCGAAATGTTATGGGAATTGGATAATTTTTGTATGGTTAGACTCGTGGCGAGATAAGGAATCCGATGATGTGAATTTTGTAATTTTTTGAGAAGTGGGCCCGGGCTCGGGTTTTGCTAGTTTCAAGATCTTTGCTATTTTTCGATTGTTTTCGATTGGGTATTGTTCCCTTAGCATATTGTGATGTATTCGCTCTGATTTTGGTTAGATTCGACGCGCGTGGAGGCCGATTTGAGGGGCAAAGGCATCGCGAGCTAGAGATTTCACCGGTTCAAGGTGAGTAATGATTGTAAATGATATCCTGAGGGTTTGAAACCCCGGATTTGCACATCATAGTGCTGTATTGAGGTGACTTGCACGCCGGATCGCGAGCGTGGGGTAGAGCACCGTTGGGGATTGTGACTTGGTCCGTCCCGATTGATGAAATTACTACGTATTTGACTGAAACTACTTGTTATCATCATAATTTGGGTTGATTGCCATGTTTGGGCTTCGTGCCAACTATGTGAATCCTTCAGGGATTGATATCACTGTTTTCGCATTACTTTGCATATTATTTGATCTCGGTCCAAGGTTTTAATACTCTTTTGCAAACTCAGCCGTTTTTCTAAGATTTGAAAACTGAAACAATATTTTTTGACGTTTTGAGCTGAGAACTACCATGTTTTATTGCAAGTGGCTTATGTGCATTTCTGGACTGAGCATGAATCGGGCTGCGCGCCGCAGCAGTGTTACATGTGCATTTCTGGACTATGGATGGCTCGGTCTGCACGCCGCAGCGGTGTTACATTGATTTTGAGGCCGAGGGCCTGGTTGATGCCACGAGATGGCTTGATATTGCGCTTGGGTTGTAGGAGCCCCTCCGGAGTCTGTACGCACCCCCAGTGAGCGTCGTCGACGTTAAATATGGATGGCTCGGGCTGCACGCCGCAGCGGTCATATGCATTGCATTGCACTCATGCATTGGTTCCTGTTTGTATTACGTGTCATGACATTCTGCACTCGCATTTCATTGGCTTCTATGCTACTTCTTGCACTGCTTACCTGATAACCTGGTGTTATTTGTTGATGGAGTGCTGTGCCCGAGAGGCTGACTTATGTGCTGACTTGCACTATCTGTTTCGCATTCATTTGCTTAACTGTTGAAAAAGACATTTTCAAAAGAGGTTTTAACTGAGCCCAGATAGATTTTCTAAAGGATTTCACGGTTTTACTGTTTTCTCAAAGGGTATCACTATTCTATATAGCATGATGGAGTGCCTTTCGTGATTTCTTGCTGCTCAGTTATTATTTACCTTTATTACTCACTGAGTTGGAGTACTCACTTTACTCCCTGCACCTCGCGTGCAGATGCAGGTATTGGTTACCCGGTAGCGGGTTTGAGCTGGTTGAGGATTTTCTATCGTAGCTGAGCAAGGTGACCGCCGGCGTTCGCGGCACCGGACTTCGTCTTTTGATTCTAAACTTTATTCTGTATATTATTGACCCTGTGGTCGTGTTCAGACTTCCTTAGATGCTCGTGACTTGTGACACCCCGGTCGGGCTGTGTTGGGTCGTATATATATCGATTGTTATTGTCATTAAGTTGTATTTATCTAATCATTTATGTTTAAAATTTTTTTGAAAGAGGCGTTGTTGTTCTGTTGGCTGGCCTTGTCTTCACGAGAGGCGCCATCACGACCGAGTTGGGAATTGGGTCGTGACAGTCCTTCAACATGGAGATCAATAGACAGTAGTCCATATTGAAAATTCAAAACACACACTATCTTGCTCAACTAATCTTGGAGGGAATGAGCCTTGCCATGAACAATTACATCAACCAAATGTGGATGAACAATATTATTCAACCACTAGCACCCTCGATGAACCAAAATCTAGTGAATACCATGCAACACATGTGGAACATTCCAAGCAACTCCAACCAACAAGTCCCATAAAATCCACCTCTAAATCTTCCTTTCTTTGCACCGGAGGATCTAATGCTACTGAATCCAATCTTCACTCAATGGAATGCACAACACATGCAAAACCAACAACAAGATCCACAACTAGATCCAATGGAAGATCTAGCTCAAGCACCAAACATGCAAAATCATGAAGGGCTCCAAGAGGAAGGAGAGGAGGAGGACAACATGCCACACTTGGGGGAACCAGCAGTCACATTTTCAAGCCTAAGCGAGGTAAAAATACTCATATTCAAGGAGATGCTAGACAAGAAGTCTATCTTCAGTTCCCCAGTGACACTTTACAAGTGTTCATTGGACATATGACCTCCACAAGATCCAACAATGGGAAAAAATATGGTGATACTAGTCCCCTCCCTCAGGAGGAATTACAACAACAACCCAATCAATAATCACTCCATGAATCAACCAAACAATTTTATAATTTGGAATGTTAGAGAAGCTAACAATGCCAACTTTAAGAGGAACTTTAGAGAGCTTATGGACACCCACAGGCCATGTTTAGTTGCTTTGTTGGAGACTAAAATGGAGAGTCATATATCTATCTTAGAATAATTTAACTTCACTGAGTTGATTGAGGTTCCTGCAATTGGGCAAGCTGGTGGTTTAGTTATCCTATGGAATCATGACATGGTGACCGTCAACAACTTCACTAGGAATGATCAGGCCATACATGCAATGATTGAGGTAAAACCCAAAAATCTCTCTTGGTTATTTAGTGCTATATATGCTAGCAATGACATAACAGTTAGACATACGTTATTGTCACGACCCCGGTTCACCCTCCGTGAACCATCGTGACGGCACCTAGTCTCTACGACTAGGTAAGCCTAACAATGCAGAATATAAACAACAATTGCAGAAGAAATAATTTAAAAACCGAAATAGTAAAAATAAAATAGTGTTTAAGATGCTGCCTGGCATATAACAGTGCAAAATCTCAACCTAACACTCCCAAAATCCGGAACCCCGTGAATCACAAGCTAAGAGATACATAAGAAGCTCTAACTCCAGAAATGTCTAACAAAAGCAAAACTACTAAAGGGCTATACTATTACAGAAAGATAGAAAGGGACTTCTCGATTTGCGGACGCGGCAGATATACCTCGAAGTCTCTACAGAAGCACCTCGCCTCAAGGATGATAAGACTGAGTGGAAGTACCTGGATCCGCACAACAAAAATGTGCAGAAGAGTAGCATGAGCACACACAGCGGTGCCCAGTAAGTATAAAGACTAACCTCGGTGGAGTAGTGACGAGGAACAGTCAAGACACCTACCGGTCCAATAAACTGTACAAATATAGGAACAACGGAACATGATGTATATATAAAGACTACACGAAATGGCTAACAATACTACAATCACAATAAGGGAAGAAAACAGCAAGTAACAGCGGAAATACCAAAATAATGACATAGAAGGGCGACCAAAAACACAAACCCAAATCCTAAATTCACACTACAGTAAAGGTAAGCAATAACTTAGGTCCTATGACAGTGTTCACATCAGGTCCTATCCAACAATTTCCACGAAGTACCGAATCTCGGACAAATTACAGCTCACGATGTCCCATGCATCTGAAATCTAACACTTGGCATCCTGTGCCCCCATCAACCTCATGGTCATGCTGACAACTCACTTGCAAACTAGAGCCACTCTCACATATATAACAAATAAACGAGGGTGTACATCTATGCTCAGCAAAATCAGGAGGACTTCACATCCAATAGGAGTGTTCAACTACGTGTATGCTTGTGCAAGTGCTTTAACATAGTTCCTACTAGCTAATAAGCGTAAGGAAAAGAACGGACAACACGTAAGATGTTTCCTCACAACTTCCATGAGATAAAGCTCGTACAGGTAAGCGTACCACAACACAATATTAAACAACAAGAATGCCCCAGGCCATCACAAATCATCACAATCAATCCCTAACATAGCCCACCTTGTCTCGCCATGTGTGCAAATAATAACATAATGAGTGCCCGCCTTGTTTCGCCACACGTGCATCATAATGTTCCCACCTTGTCTCGCCACATGCGCAACCCACATATAAGCATATATATATATATATATATATATACACTACCCTACGTTGTCACGCCGCATGTGCAATATATCAATAGTAGCAATAGCACGGCAGAACCTCGTGCAACCCACTAACAACAGCCGCACGACAGAATCCTTGTGCATCACATATC